CTTTTCACGAATTCAAACAGATGCTCGAAAATTTCAGTGGAAATAAAATTAAATGCTTACAAAGTGACAGCGGCCGAGAATACGTCAATAAGCAATTCGACGATTTCCTCAAAGAAAGCGGGATACAGCGTAGAATGACCGTACTATATTAGAAATCGGTGCCCGACCGAAAGTTTGAACGACACGACGCCGTTCGGAAGAAAACCTAGCGTAGCTCACTTACGCGAATTTGGGTGCAGGGTTTACTGTTTAAACACGAACAAACAGAGGGGTGTATTCGAACCTCGTACGCGCGAAGGAGTTCTAATCGGGTACGCGAAACAAGCCAAGGGTTACAGAATTTGGATGACAAAAGAAAAGAAGGTGGAAATCTCTCGCGACGTTAGATTTTCGAAAAGAAAAACAAAAGCGCCTGATGGAGAATACCGAAGTTTTGAGCCGGAGGAGCTCGAAACGCGAGAGAGCCGTACGCATGAGGAATCACTTAACGAGCTGATCATCTTCGACAACTAGTGTGGGTCATCCTTAGAAGGACTCAGGGTGCCTCAGCTTTACAGCTTATACCCCTTTCAGACCAGGTTTCTACTTTCCATCGAAACCACCAACCGGTAGAACAAGCCGGAGAATGAGTGAGGACGCCCGACCGTGTTTGAACCCCAACTTGGCGGTAATGATTTTTGCTCTTGGACTTTTTCAATTTCTAGACGTTAGTAAGGATGGAATTAACGTCTGTGTGAAATTTCAGCCCGATAAAACCAGCAGCACGGCTTCCAGAAATGGATGTGGAGCGGTCACCCATCTTCGTACGGAACGCCGCCCAGTGCATCTTGACTTCGGTGATCGGATCATTTTCGACAGACAATTTTTGACAGAGAGCACGAACACGGAACCTGAAGAACCGCAGCAGGAACATCCTGACACAACACAAGAGACTCCGAAATTCAGACCTGGAAGGCCCTGTATACTACGTACTGAACGCAGGGGGAGACCCCGGAAACTGTACAACACGGAGGTCAACGAAAATCCAGTGCAAATTGACAGCGATGAGCTGAACGAAGAATCGAACGAAAATGAGGTCGAAATCGTATGTGCTGCGGAAATACCCGCGAAGTGCGCACTGTCGGGAAACGAGAGGGAAGAATAGAAACAAGCCATGGCGGAAGAAGTCCGTTCAATCATAAAGAACGACGCATGGACCATCGTCGATAAATCGTTCCAAAATTCAAGCGTAGGAAGTCGATTCGTACTACGAAACAAATACAATCCCGACGGAACATTACAGAAAAGAAAGGCACGAATTGTAGCACAAGAGTTTGCACAACAACCATGCATAGATTTTTTCGAGTCGTTCGTTCCAGTGGCACGGTCGAGCTCGATCAGACTGATGATGGCGCTCGCCGCTCAGCACAATATGATCATTCGGCAATTTGACGTGTCCATGGCTTACCTGAACGGAACCCTAGAAGAAAACGTCTATATTAAGGTGCCAGAATACTTCGAGGAAGCCCTGGATCAAGTTGTTCTTGGGGAAACGAACGCTAATATCAAAAGAAAAGCCACAAAGATCCTTCAAGATCTGAAGAAGGGCGACAAAGTTTTTTACCTGAAAAAGGCTCTGTACGGTCTCCGCCAGGCAGGACGTAGTTGGTACAAAGGAGTAGACTAGGAGTTGAAGAATCTCGGAGCTGAACCGACGAATGCAGATCCGTGCATATATCGCATCGAGCGAGGAGAAGAATCAACTATTACATAGGGTTATCCAAATTAAGTGTCACATCTTCCAACAGCGTTATCGTCACATGATAACCACTTTCTTTAGAGCCAAATTGAACAATATGAACGTGGACGATATCTGATTCCAGCAAGACGGTGCCACATGCCACACGTCAAAGGAAACAGTTACTCTGCTGAAGGAAATGTTTAATGGACGCGTAATTTCACGAGGAGGAGACATCAATTGGCCACAAATATCGTGTGATTTAACACCATTAAACTTTTTTCTATGGGGATTCTTGAAAAGTAAAGTCTACGCTAATAATCCAAAGACTATTGACGAGTTAGCACCATTAAACTTTTTTCTATGGGGATTCTTGAAAAGTAAAATCTACGCTAATAATCCAAAGACTATTGACGAGTTAAAAAACAATATCACAGCCGCCATTAATGAAATTGAATTTCAGTTATGTGAAAATTGGGTCAAACGTAACAGGCTCATGAAAAAAAAAACCGAGGAGGACACTTGAATGATATTGTCTTTCATAATTAATGTCATTAAGTAGATACAGGCTCATGAAAAAAAAACCGAGGAGGACACTTGAATGATATTGTCTTTCATAATTAATGTCATTAAGTAGATTTTGTGTTAAAATAAAGAAACCATACAAATCTCAAATACTTTGCGTTTTATTTCAATTTGAAGATGTAACACTCAATTTGGATAACCCTATAGCTGTTTACGAGGACGATATTTTAATCGCAGCTCAAAAACTGGACGATATAAATCGGGTAAAAGATCACTTGAACAAACACTTCGAAATAAACAATCTCGAAGATGTCGGATGATGCATAGGCATCAAGTTTACTCGAAAGGGAGACAAAATACAAATCAACCAAAAGGGATACATCAAGGATGCAATCAAAAATTTTGGGATGATGGACTGCAACCCGGTTACCACACCGATGAATCCTGGGACAAAACTACAGAAGCGGGAAGGTCCCACAAATAAAGAGGATGGTAAACTTCCGTACCGCGAATTAATTGGCAGTCTCATGTATTTGGCAGTAGCTACGCGACCGGACATCGCTCATACGGTGAGCTATTTGAGTCCATTTTTGACTTGTTACGATAAAACTCACTAGACGGCCGCATGTACTAAGATACCAAAGGGTACGTAAAGGGTACGTAAGATTAAAAGGGTACGTATACTCTGTTCAAAATGAGAGTAACCTCGCTTCGCGCATGGGACGTGCCTAAGGCAGGGTTAGAACCACTAGAACGTCCAAACCCCCACTTAACCACCTACGTTTTTCTCCGTCTTACCCTCTGCTGCGCTCTCTGTCTATGCGCAAAACGGACGAGAATCGGTCCGAGAGCGAGATTACTCTCATTTTGAATGACGTATAGACGCCGATTGGGCGAACTGCCTTCACAGGATACGCCTACGTGCTAGCAAACGGAACGATCAGCTGGAATTCGAGGACACAGCAGACGGTCGCACTGTCATCGACCGAGGCCGAGTATGTGGCATTAGCTA